GGCTGTTTCTCTTCAATTTGAGTGGTGCCACATCAGCAAATGAAGGTCTTGAAAGCTTTCTCTTTTCCATATGAGTAAGGCTGGGTTTACTAAGATGTTGCAACTCTTTCCCAGTCCTGTTTTGAGAGCCTTTTAGCCTAAACAGACTATTCCTAAAGGTGCGCGGTAATGTACCAAACAGTGTTTCTCCCTAATTGTTCGACCTGTCCACCCATCTAACCACCCATAGATCAATGTTTGCCATCACTGACAATGCACTATTGTATGTGCAAAAGGGAGTAACTCCAATATTGGCATTAATCACTAATTTATATGCCTGTCTGTCCTATGACAGACTGGAGATCCCTTGCAGTGCAGAGTACAATGCCTAGGATAGTGCCTGGCACATAGTGGGTTTTCATCAAATTGCAATGAATGAACAAAATAGTGCTTTCAGATGATCATAATAGTGCTTTAAAATGAAAGTCTTAAGAGTACTTACCTGGAAAACTGTCCTTCTATGCTTAAAGAAGTGCCTGGCACTTAGATAGTACATGTTTGTTAACTGTAGATTTAAAGTGATGATGACTTACATGGTAGATATTTGTCTGTAATGGACTAATCACCTCAAAAATAAAAATCAGTGTCTTATGCATCCCTGTTCCTTTCCCTTTTAATACGCTGTATGTTTTTGAATGCATCTAATGAATCACTTGGTACCTATTTGTTGAACAAATGGACGAATGAATGAATCTAAAAAGGACCAATAACTGTGAAACCGATGTAGTAGTCCAGGTGTGAGAGAAAGATGTGGTGGTGCTGGAGAGGATGGAAATGCCACTTAAGAAAGAAAGAGCAGGAGAGGATATCCTAATGCTAATTGATGGTTTAGTGTGCGTTAGACCACAATGATAGTCTTTCCCATTTCAAAGATGGCAGAGTGGAGGTTCACAGAGGCTTAAGCAGTCTGCCCAGGGTCGCTCAGTAGTAAAGTAGAAGAGCCTGGATTTATGCTGTGTCTGGTCTGATCCAGGAAATAACCTTCGCTTCCACTGTCCTACGTTCTTAGGAATAGCCCTCCCTTCTCTTTAAGCCTATGAATTCTATCCACTTACCTATTTGGTTTTCAGTGCATTGAATTTCTCATGGTTTCTCAATTAAGCGAAGATGTCATTACATAGGTGGCTTTACGTAAGTCCAAAGCTTAAAGAGTCGGTAGTTGAAGATTGAGTCCTGTTGTTAGGTGCCATCGAGGTGGTTCCACCTCATAGTGACCCTGTGTACAGCAGAACGAAACACTGCCTGATTCTGAGCCATCCTCACAGTCCTTGCTGTGTTTGAGCCTATTGTTGCTGCCACTGTGTCAGTCCATCTGCTTGAGGGTCTTCCTCTTTTTTTGCTGACCTTTTGCTTTACCAAAGGAGCTCTGGTGGTGTAGTGCCTAAGGCATTTGACTGCTAATCAGAAGGTTGGGGGTTCAAGTCCACCAGATACTCCCCAGAGGAAGAGTGGGCAGTCTACTTCCGTAAAGATTTACTGCCTCAGAAACCCAAAGGGGGAGCTATGAGTTGAAATGACTCAATGGCAGTGAGTTTGGTTTGGTTTTTGGTTTTGCTTTACCAAGCCTGATGTCCTTCTCCAGGGACTGGTCCCTCCTGATAACATGTGCAAAGCACATGAGACGAACTCTTGCCTTCGTCACTTCTAAGGGACATTGTGGTTGAAATGGAATATCGAGGTAGTAACCACGACTGTTAGAGTGGATGAGCTACTGCACATGAGAGTTTGTGGAGAGCTCCTGCTTTTACTGAGACTGGGTCTGGGATCTTGTCATGTCCGTAACATCTGTTATAACCCAGAGCCACTTTCAGGAGTAAATAATATATAAGAGTGTGTGTGTGTGTCTATACATAAACAGCTTTCAGATTTAATCTGCACATACATCAGGTAAGATTACGTTTTCAAAAACCTACCTTAGTAAACTACTTTATGATTATTTTTATTTTTCAAAAAAATGCCTTTTATGCCTCTTAAGTGCTGTGCTTTTTCTTACTGGTGTCTCTTTGAGACTTTTTAGGACTGTGATGTTGTTATTAGGTGCCGTTGAGTGGTTCCGACTCCTAGCGACCTTATGTATGTATAACAAAACGAAACGTCTGGTCCTGCGTCATCCTCACAGTCTTTGCTACGTTTAAGCCCGTTGTTGCAGCTGCTGTGTCAGTCTGTCTCATTGGGGGTCTTCTTTTTCCCTGATCCTCTGCTCTACCAACCATGTGCCCTTCTCCAGGGACTGGCTCCTGATAACAAGTCCAAAGTAAGAGACAAAGTCTCACCATTGTTTCTAAGGAAAATTCTGGCTGTACTTCTTCAAGAGTTTTGTTCTTTAAGGCTGTGATGTTACTGAACTCTTCAGAGAAGTGAGCATTCTTTTGGAAGAGGGTAATCTCCGTCCTTTAAAAAATGAAGAGAGTTACCTTCTGTCTTAGTTACCTAGAGCTGCCATAACCCACATACCACAAATGGGCGGCTTTGAAGAGCAGAAATTTATTGACTCACAGTCTTGAAAGCTAGAAGTGCAAATCAGGGCATTGGTTCTAGGGGAGGGTCCTTCCTTATTACAGCCCACTTGTGCATTGGCTGGTGGATGGATAGTCACATGGTCCCCCCCACTTCTGCCATGTGTGTGTTTATGTGTCTTTCCTGCTCTTTTTATAGGTCACTATTTAGCAGTGATTAAGGAGCTCTGGAGGAGCTCTGGTAGCATAGTGCCTAAGGCATTTGACTGCTAACCAGGAGGCTGGCGGTTCAAACCCATTAGCCACTCCTCGGAAGGAAGGTTGGGCAATCTATTTCCATAGTAATACTGCCTCAGAAACCCAAGGAGGGGTTGCCATGAGTCGGATCTGACTCGACGGCACATGACAACAACAACAACAACAACAAAGGAGCTCTTGTGACACAGTGCCTATGGTATTTGATTGCTAACCAGAAGGTTGGTGGTTCAAACCCACCAGCCACTCCATAGAAGGAAGACAGTGCAATCTACTTCTGTTAAGATTTACTGCCTTGGAATCTCAGTGGGGGTCACTGTGAGTTGGGATCGACTTGGGGGCAGTGGGTTTGGTTTTAGTTATTCAGCAGTGATTAGGTTTAGAACTCACCCTACTCTGGTCTGACCTCATTAAGATAACAAAAGAAAACCCTTTTTTCCCCAACAGGCTCAGATACTTAGAGACCCAGGGCTTAGGACTTGAGGATCACTTCTTGGGGGAAACACTTCAGTCCATAATTGTTGTTGTTGTTGTTGTTATGTGCCGTCAAGTCGGCCCTGACTCATAGCGACCCCCCCTTGGGTTTCCGAGGCAGTATCACTACAGAAGTAGGATTGCCCAACCTTCCTTCCGAGGAGTGGTTGGTGCGTTTGAACCGCCAGCCTTCTGGTTAACAGTCAAGTGCTTTAGCCACTATGCTACCAGAGCTCCTTCAGTCCATGATACCTTCCCTGTAACACAAATTCCTCATACCTGTGTTTGGTGTCCAAGATGATGACACAATGCTTTGGTGTCTGCTGCAGGGGTGGAGAGTGTAGCCAGTGGTGTAGTAGTTGCAGAATAGTGGATACAGTGATTTGAATGTTGACAGCAGTTTTATATTCCTCTATACTTATTCTGACTCATAAATCTGACTTCTTGTGTTCGAAAACTTAGGTAAAAGTTTCAAGATGCCAGGGCGTTCAAGTTCAGGTTCAACCAGCTTCATCTCCTTCAGCGGTGTAGAATCTGCTCTCTCCTCCTTAAAAAACTTCCAGTCCTGTATCAACTCTGGCATGGATGCAGCTTCCAGTGTTGCTTTCGATCTTGTGGAAACTCAGAGTAAGTCATGCCTAAAATTTATTTCTTTGATGTGTACTTTGAGGTAACACTGTGTGGTGGCATTAGTCTCAGGAGGCTAGACACTGCTCAGCCTTTGAGTACTTTGGGACAGTCATTTAGTTCCTCTGGGCATCTTGTTCCACATAACTCCATACTGTGGTCCTAAGGGTGAGATAAGATGAAGTGATCCGGCATGTGAGTTCAAACAGTCATGTTCCACTAGAAATTGCACAGGAATTTAGGTCCCTGAGCCTTGAGATGGAGTTGACTGGACAGCAACTGGGCTTTTTTGTTTGTTTGTTTTTATCATCAGTGAGTGGCAGCAGTTAGAAATTTGAAGATCAGAGCTTAGAAGAACCAGTCCAAACTCACTGCCAGCAATTTGATTCTGACTCCTAGCCACCCTTTAGTACTGAGTAGAACCACAGGGTTTTCAAGGCTGTAAATCTTTATAGAAGCCAACTGCCTTATCTTTCTCCTGTGGAGTGACTGGTAGGTTCAAACTGCTGACCTTTTGGTGAGCAGCTGAATGCCTTAACCATTGTGCCACTAGAGCTCCTGTTGGAAGTCTGTTTAAGGCTTTAAGTTTGAGCCTGAGTCAATCACTAATTCATCAAAACTATAGCCAGATCTGTAAAGGTGGCTATATGTTTCTTCCTTCAAGTTGCTTACAGTCTAGCTGGCAAGTAAGACACACACATGGTATTTTGCACATTAAGTGACAGTAATTTAATAATACACTGACAAGAGAATGGCAGTGCAGAGTGAGAAAAGGATGCTTAAAATTGATCAGTTTTTATTGGTGCTGGCTGTTGAGTCAGTTCCACTTGGGGTGACCCTGTGTATGTCAGAGTGGAGCTGTGAATGGTACTATACTTGAGGGGTGGTGGTGTTTGTTGCTTTACCAGGGAGTTTGAACCTTATCATTGGAAGCTTTAAAGCGGAGGAGGGATGTGGCAAGATCCCAGTGTAGAATAATAACCCGCCTGGTAACCCTGAGGATGCTGTGATGTGTCAGTAACCAGTGAGGAAGTTACTACAGTAGCTCAGGTGAAAGAAGGAAGTAACTTCCGCTAATCCTTAAGATGCACAGGATTTGATTTGTGAGGTTTCTGTCTTAATTACTGCCACGCAGTAATACAGGCAGGGTAGTGTGCTAGCAAGAGGGCAGGCTCTGGATGCACAATGCCTGGGTTCACCTCTCGGCTCCATCACTTAGTGTCTTTATGACCTTGGGCAAGTTGTACAACCTCTGCTTGCCTGAGCTTTCTCATCTGTTACGGACAATGTTATGGGGATTAAATGAGGTAGTAGGTGTAACTTAATAAGTACTCAGTAATGTTAGTTTTTTTTTTTTTAATGACTTAATTTTTACTTTGTTGTATTTGCATAAGTAATCTTGTATGTAGGGAGCCCTGGTGATGCAATGGTTAAAAGCACTTTGGTGCTAACCAAAAGGTCAGTGGTTCAAACCCACCAGCCACTTTGTGGAAGAAGGATATGGCAGTCTGCTTCTGTGAAGGTTTACAGCCTTGAAAACCCTATAGAGCGGTTCTGCTCTGTGCTATAGGATTGCTATGAGTTGGAATCTACTTAATGGCAATGGATTTTTTTTTTTTAAACTTTTTATTTAGTAGGGGCTTTGGTTTTTGGTATCAATTTTTTTTTTTTTTTTAAATAGCTTTGTTGAGCTTTCATGTATGTCTATAAAATTCATTCATTGTTAGTGTACTTTGACTGCAGATTTTTAATGTTAGCTATCTGGTGGCATAGTACCTAAGGCTAACCAGAAGGCTGGTGGTTCAAACCTACCAGCCACTCCTTGGGATCTACTTGCTCCTTAGGCAATCTACTTCCGTAGAGATACTGCCTCAGGAACCCAAGGAGGGGTCACTATGAGTAGAAATAGACTCGATGGCAGTGAGTTTGGTTTGGTTTTGGTTATTACTGTTTTAGTGATCTGGTTTGCATTTGAGTTGACTGTGTTGGACAGCAGTGAATGGACTGTGAGAATTGAAGGTGAAGAGCAAGTGGACCATCCATGAACTGTATTCAGAGCAGAAATCCTCTTTTCCCCTCAGCCTTTTAAGAATGGGCATATTTTTGGTGTTGCCTAATCTCATCACAAAGTAGAATGAGCTTTGATAACATAGATTGTAGTGATCAGTTAGGGTGGCACACACAGTTAAGCACTCAACTACGAGCCAAAAGGTTAACAGTTTGAACCCATCTAGAAGCAGCTTGGGAGACAGGTGTGGCGAACTGCTTCTGAAGGTCACAGCCTTGAAAACCGTGTGAAACACAGTTCTCTCTGGCACATAGTGTCACCATGCGTTGGAACTGACTCAGAGCAACCAACAACAACTGATCAGTGTTGGATATCCTTTTCTCACTTTAGGAGCTCTGGTGGTGTCGTGGGTATGGCTTTTGGCTGCTAACCAGAAAATTGGCAGTTTAATCCCTCCAGCTGCTCTGTGGGAGGAAGATGGAGCCATCTACTTCTATTAAGATTTACAGCCTTGGAAAACCAATGGGGGTCATGATGAGTTGGAATCGATGGCAGTGGGTTTGGGTTTTGTGTTTTTCTCACTTTGAATTCTCTTGTCAGTATCTTACTAAATTATTAGTTAAGGAGATTCTTGTCACCCAGATCTTAAGGGGTTGTGATGTATTTTTGGTGTTTGTACTTTTCCTTCCCTGTTTGTTGCATATTCTTATACCAGGTGGCTGTCCTGTTCACCATTTTCAGCTTATTTGAAAGGGTCACCTTTGCCTGTGTTATGCTATATCGCAGGTGGCGCATAGACAGTCTGCTTTCACTGCAACCAGGTTTTTGAGTTTTGTCTAAATTTGTTGGTATTGTAGTAATACCTTCTTTATTTGATCTAATTGGGAAATAAAATTCGTTACTTTAGGAGATTTTTTTCAGATAACTGAAGATAATTTTCAGGTTTTAAGATTTTATGACATACCTCTCTGCTTTCTTCTTTTCCCTTTTTGTTGTGCTTTGGGTGAAAGTTTACAGAGAAAATTAGTTTTCCATTCAACAGTTTATACACATGTTTCGTGACATTGATTGCGGTCTCCACAGTGTAACAGCTCACTTTCACCTCCTCCCTGGGTTCCCTCCCTTCCTGCCTTCGGAGCTTTGTTTTGGGCAGATGATGACCTTTTGATCATGTGTGGTTGATTATTCTAAAGAGTGCATTCCTTCTTGTTGTTAGTGTTCACTTTATAAGCCTGTCTTTTGTTGGGCTGAAAGTTGGTCTGTGGGAGTGAGTTCAGTCTCAGGCTTGAAGGGTGACTAAGGGTGATGGTCTTGGGGGTCCCATCAGGCTCTATCGTACTAGTAAGTCTGGTCTTTTTTTCTGTTATTTTGAGGATGTTCCACATTTTTCTCCCATTCTATTCAGGACCTTCTGTTGTGACTCTAATCAAAATGGTCAGAAGTGGTAGTCAGGCAACATCTAGTTCTGTTTTCAGGGTAGTGAAGGTTGGGGGTTCATGTGGTCCGTTAGCCCTTTGGGCTGATTGTCTGTCTCCTTGTATCTTTGATTTTCTTCCCTGTTCTTTGCTCTGGATGGGGAGAGTTACGTCTTAGATGGCCACTCACAAGCTGGTAAGAGTTGCTTCTCACCACAGTAGGATGTGGAACATTGTCCTGTGGGCTGTTAGGCCAGCTGACCTGCATGCCCTCAAGACTGTGGTGTCTCTGTTTTCTTAAGCAGCATGTACTAACCTCATTTACCAGAATTACTGTTGTTGACATCATCTTTAAGCAACTGGATTTTAGTGAGATCTTGAATTTTAGTGAAGGAAATTTGGAGGCATAGCCCTTCCCTAAAATGTTGACATACCTTGGGTTTGTGTCCTCTCTCTTCTCACTCTGCTGGGGCCTGTCCAGGGACGACCTCAGAGGCTTTGGTTCATGCTCTGCAGTCCATGTAAAATGTGGGTGCATTTTTCTGGGCTGAGGAGTAAGAAGCTTTATCAGATTCTTGCTAAATAATTAGGAGGAACATGTGGAAGAGAAGGATAAATTTTCAGTTGCTCAAGGGTCCATGAGATGAGAAAACCTTGCTGGGGGGCTTCTCAGGGTTTTTCTCTTTGTAATGCTTTTCTTCCTGTGCCTCCGGAGCCCCAGGGCAGAGAGACTTCAGTTATTATGATCAGGCAGGTAATTGAATGTTAGTCGAACTATGTCATGATCTTGAGGATAATTGAGCTGAATTTGTTGCACACGTTGTTGTTGTTGTTGTTGTTATGTGCCGTCGAGTCGGCCCTGACTCATAGCGACCCCTCCTTGGGTTTCCGAGGCAGTATCACTACGGAAGTAGGATTGTCCGATCTTCTTCTGAGGAGTGGCTGGTGAGTTTGAACTGCCAGCCTTCTGGTTAGCAGTCAGATGCCTTAGGCACTATGCCACCAGAGCTCCCGTACTATGTGCTCTCTCTCTTTCTCTCTCACTGCCGTTGACTTGGTCCCAACTCATAGTGACCCCTCCTTGGGTTTCTGAGGCAGTGTCTCTACGGAAGTAGATTGCCCAGTCGTCCTTCCGAGGAGTGGCTGGTGGGTTTTAACTGCCAGCCTGGTTAGCAGTCAGATGCCTTAGGCACTATGCCACCAGAGCTCCTGTACTATGTACTAGGACTGTGCTATTTTACATGTAGTCTCATTTGATCCTGACTAATTCTATGAAGTAAGGGCTCTTGTTACCCCATATTATACTTGGGAAAAGGTTTAACAAAGTACCTTTCCTGAAGTCACACAGGAAGTACATGGTGGGATAGGGATTTGAGTGTAAGCTGACTCCATAGTTTCTGACCTTCACTATTACTTGTTAATTGAAAATGGATTCTGCCAGTTTCATGGCATTTGCAGTCAATGGCACACTGAAGTCATGTTTTCTGTTGTTTTGCTGAGAGTAACGTTCCCTAATTTTCATGACTTTGGAAGGCTGGCATGAGATTGCATCTCCCGAGTGGCCTCTGGCAGCATCT